CAATTTTTGTGAGTAGTTTTGACACAAAATTGGTATTACAGTTTACAACGGCGTCAAAGAAAACTAAATCAAAGCTTCTTTGCAATCAATGTTTTTGAGCCCGATTTCTTTTCTGATCAAGAACTGGGAAAAAAAATTGAAATCAATGATAATGAAGTAGTCTTGATTGGTGATAATTTCACAAGTTTTTTACAGAAATAAATAAGCAGATCAATCACTTTGACAATAAATTAGTAAGTAGATAAACTTTTACGACCAAGTTTTTTCCAAACTGCCTCAAAATCGCTCAAGTAGTCATTTTGCGTGAAGGGAAAATAAAAAAACCGTTGAACTATAGACCAATATCTCTTTTGCCAGTCATTGGCAAAACTGCAGAATGAGCTACTTACGATAAAAATAACTATGATAGAACTTATGATAGAGCTACTTATGAACATTTTTATGCCAAATCAGCATGGCTTTCGTAGTAGACGTGGTACATTGATGTCATACTTGAGTTGAAGAGGCCAACAAAAAGTGAGATATTCAATCTCAAAATACTGGTAAAAGGTTATATTTCCTTAAGTAATTCATTGAGGATCTAACTCCGGAGGAAAACTAGTAGAGAATCGTGCCCAAAGATATACACTGCACAAAAATTCTCACTTCGGTCAGAACATTGTCGTTTAAAAATTTCAGGCAGATTATCGACGCAAAAATCCGAGATCCCTACTTCAGAGATTCAAATACTAAAAGTAAAAACGTGCGAAGACGATTTTGGAAGTACGATGCTGGTTGCTCAAGGAAATATCTGTTGAACTGTGTGCTTTTAATGAATGGTTATTGGATTATGAAGAGGGGAGCCAAGTACAGAATGGCATTGGGGATAAACGCCAGTTGGGCTCAGAAGCCACAGAAAGCTGTTCATGCAGCTCCATAAATTGCTGCCTCTCAAGTTAATTATTCAGTGACGCCAAACGTGCCTTTAGAAACATGTTAGGGTTCAACTGCCAAAAACGGATTCGTAAAATGCAACTCGGAGGTTCGCTGTTCCCCAGGCCTCAACTTTGGGACTTCTTGTGTTCATCGTTTATATAAACACGCAGGCGAAGCCGAGCTTGTTACCACTTGCGATACAATACAAAACAGCCACAAAATTGAATAAAAAATAATTAAAAAAATCAAAAATGCCGAAACCTATCAAAACAAATAAAAAAGTATCAAAAACTCCCACTAAGACAATAGAAGGTAAAAATAGAATCAGAAGAAAACTTACCAAGCTGTAACCAAGCCCAAAAGACCTGAGAGGAAACCAGTTAAGCCGAAAAAATTCACACTGAGGCGAAGCTGAGCTCAGCACCACATGCGATACAAAAGAAGAAAGCCGCTAAATTGAAAAAAATTCGAAAATATCGAAAAAAAACTAGATAGATCGATACGGCTAGTTTTGGAACACAAAATAGGCACAACAATTGAATGAGAAAGTAACATAGAAAGACAAGTTATCAAGCGGTAACAAAGCCGAAAATACCTTAGCAGACACCCTCAAACAACCAAACAAACAAACACACACACACACACACACACACACACACACAAACTTCTTTCACGCGTTAAATGAAACAATATGCGGCCACTATGCCGATATAATACTGGCCAAAACCTATTAAGCCGGAAAAAAAGGAAAATAAAAAAACAAAGTCGAAAAAACGAAGAAAAAAAAACAGACTAATAAAAAGTTATTAAGTCCCCCTCACCTTCGAAACACAGACACGCACAGGTATTTTTTCAACCACCAAAAGGCGCAAAAATTGGCCATTGAACCAATATAAAATAGGCCGAAAAACATCGTTGTCATGAAAAACTTGAGCTATAACTTCTATTGAGATTTTTAGCATTTTGTGCAATCCAGAGGTGAGCCTAAGAAATATGTATCCCTTGAAACTACTCGAAATTAGTCCACTAAGCGATATAAAATAGGCCGAAGCCTATTAAACCGAAAAAAGGAACAAAAAAAAATAATAAAATTTTAACAAATCGATTTAGAAAAATCACAACTAACTAGGATATTTAAAAAACAAACTGAACCATGCGTAATATTTGCAACCGAGAGTGGGAGAGGAGTAGGATCTGCAAAGAGGACGGAGAGGTCAAGGAGGCCAGAAGCGACTCCTGTGGAAAAAGTGGTTTACGGGAAAAAAAGTCCCCGATTGCAATACCCTTGCTTATCGCAAGGGTAAAAAAAAATTCTTAAAAAAATACCCCCATTCCCCTCAAAACACACAAAAACTTTTTTCGCTCATCATACAACGAAATATGAGGTCAATGAGCCGATATTAAATCGGCCCAACCTAATCAACCCGAGAAAAAAAAATGAAATTTGAAAAAGACTTAAAAACTAATAAAAACTTGTCAAAGCCCTACCCACTTCAAAACACTCACACAAGCACGCATTTTTTTCACTCGGTAAAGGACAAAATATGAGAACAATCAACCGATATAAAAAGAAGCCGAGATTTATTAAACCGAGAACAAAAAAACATGATATTTAATCAAACACTTAAGAACTGATAAGATGTTGTTTAAGTCCGATCCCCTTCAATACATACACATACGTACACACTTTTGTTTATTTAAGGACGCAATATGATGCAAATAAGCTGATATAATATAGGCCGAAACATATTTAACTGATAAAAAAAAGGTTAACGAATGAAATTTAAAAAAAAGTTAGTAAAATTAAAACCAAACTAAAAAGCAAACTTCGAATGGTACAGATATTAAAAATGCTAATTTGCTAAGATATGTCTGTTGCAGTTTCCAGCAGAGACGACAACTGCAGTTCAAAGTGCAAACTCGACTAGGTTTAGGATTCGAATTGGCGACCTACTGCAATCAAGAGATTTTGATTCTCACGCACTAGCCACTCAGCCACGCAAGCTTAACAACCGACAAGCGCTAGTCACGAATACAGCAGCTACATATGCTAACCAATTGCCAATGCAATTCAGCAAAAGTGGCACCAAATACAAATAGACTCAATTTTGCAACAAGTAATAATTTAACAAACTGAAGACATCATCCACACTAACTTTATATGTAACAAATCGCAAAGCATAAAACCACATTATGTATAATTATGCACTTCAAAAAATTGCGAGATATATTGAGTTAGAAAATTTCTGAAATAGAGTTTTCATGATTATTACGTTGTTGGAAACAAATCACTTTTTTCGGTTCATTTGATGAATTAAAAACGCATCAACTGTGTTAACTTATTACTATTTGAATGTCAAAGCACATGCTATCAAAAAGATGTAAAGGTGCTCCAAAATTGGTACCAACATTTGCGACTTAGGTTAGAAAAAAAAGAAGGTTCTTTATAATACACTCGCTTCGCAAGTGTATTGAGCGACGAAATCACTAGCAAAATAAATACCCAGAAAAACAAAAAAATGCATTGAAATCTGGCCTTGAAAAAATCAAAGTCACTAGGTGAATATATTATTTGAGCCTAGTAAAGATTTAGAGGTTCAAATAAGTTATCTCAACTCAGCTTTTTACAGAAATTGAACATGTAAATATTTCTTAGAACGCGTCGAAATTTGGATTAATGTGTCGCTCTCAAATCAGTCGTTAAGCTATCTTCAGTGTGGTATTAAAAACATCTCTAGAAAACAATTATTTTGATTAACTTTCCACTAAAATGAGCGACCTAAATTGTAGAAGTAATTTTTCTGACCGTAAAACACTTTGATTTGAAGGTTTCATTTAAACACGTTTTTTTCCGGGTTTCAAAATACGTTTTTTCAATTTTTTTGGCTGTCAAAAATTTAAGTTGGCTGCGCTTTATTTCACATAAGGCATTAGGTTTGTTCTCAACTTTTCTCTATATAAAAGGTGGAGCCACCAGTTTTTGGGAACGCATTTTGATCTTATAATTTCACCATTTTAAAATTTTTGTGTTTGATCAAATAGCTTATTAACAATTCTTTGACAGCTTCCCTCTTTGAAGGATAAAACAGATGGCAATTCTCATTCAATTCGGCAATTTCTCCTTTCGCGTACCACAATGTAGATTCGGGATCTTGTTGCGCTGAAATCCCATAATCATCGATTGACTTCTCAGTGCGTTCTTCAAATAACTGCACAATCGAAACTATTTCGTACTTTTCCTCAGTTATAATGATATCTTCAGATCCTAGCTTCCGAATAGTGCTCATTAACTTCAAAGCCTTGCGCACAATTTTTAACATTGATGAACTGTCAGTTAAAACTTCAACTAACTTGTATTTTTCGTTGATCATCAAAGCTAATTTGACCTTCGTTCGTCCAATGCAAATGTAACTGAACTGTAGAGAGGTTACTAGGTCAATGTTTTTCAAGCTTCGCAATTCCGTTTTAAAGAGCTCTGCTTTATCTATCCAAGCGAATCGGTTATTTTCCATCGAGACTAATTTTTTCTTTATGTCAATGAGCTGCAGAGTTAGTGAAATATTAACTTCAAATGTATCTCGCTTTTTATTTTTTGTCTGTTGATTCATAGCTTCCAACGGATTCGCTATGAAAAGATTTTGCGTGTCTTCAGCAATCATTTCCGATACATAATTGTTCAGCAGTCGCATAGCCATTTCACCATTATGGTAGTAAAGCTGCAGAAACTTTGCATATGCGGCCTCCTTGCCCAGAAAGGGATCTGACGCTAAAAAAAAGACAAAAACTCATGAATGTCCTTGAGAAAATTTCATTTCTTTATGTCCCTTTTCAGATCAATCGATCAACTTGAATCGATTCCTGCCGATGAGCATCCTTCAGTACTTTTGCAGAAAATTGAATTCAATGTTCCGGTGAGCAAAAGAAGCGCAACAAAGAAAACGTTGGCAGTTGGTCGAACAGAGGCGAAGTGCTTGCCAGTAGATCGTATTCTGGTTTTAGACCCGTTGAAAAACCAAATTTATCTTCGCCCGTGCTTGAGTCTCGAAGACACGAGAAAAAAACTCGCAAAAATTGAGATAACTTACCAAAGAACTCAACCGGAGTATTATTTGCAGGATATGTGAACGTGTATCCACTTATCATTGCTCCTATTCTGCATTTTGGCATTCGTTTTCTATCCAAAGACGCAAGCTCTGGCATGTCATCAGTTAAATTCAACTTTTCCACTGCTACTGAGGGATAGCATTGCAGTTCGAGTAGCCATTCTGGCAGTGATTCTGATGTGTCACTGCGTCTAGTCCGTGGTTCCAGATCGAAGAACTCCTGAAGAGTCAAGGATCCAGGCAGTCTTAAGTCTTGAAACGGCCCTGGAAAAGATCGTACTTCTCTAAACTATTGTCTGAAACTGCTGCTTCTAATCAAGCGCACTATTAAGTTTTCTAGGAAAAGAGACTTGAAGACTTATTTGTTTTCACGGTTGGGTTTATCTCCGCTGCGCTTACATTCGGCAGAAAAGATTAAGCGTACGTGATCATCGTTCGCAACTTTACCGCAAGTTATGATTTATTGCTTGTTCCGAATTGTCGGCTCACGCATTTTTACAAGTTATTCGTTGCTTGTTGAGTCGATTATAAGCAGAATTTTCATCACTGCCGGTCTTCATTGAGGGTTTATAAGGCAACTTATGCACGAACAACCCTAAACCGTTCGCTGAGATGATACGAGATGGCCTAAACTTAGTTTGCTAGATTTGCATAACGCAACAACACTAACCATAGCCGTAATTGCATGCTCGATTCAAAACCACAGCCGATCTTTTTCTTACTTTGTCTTTCAGTCGTTGAAGCCCTTTGATTCGTAGTTTCAGAAACCCGACATCCAAAATTTGCCCTAATTCATCCAAGTCAGTAGCTGCTTTCAGTATTTCAATTTGTTTTTCAGTCGCCATCTATCTGAAACGCAGAAAAATTTAAAGAAAAATTAATGATATATCGCACGCAACTATTCAGTGTCACATTTACAGTTACTTACATTAGATGAGATACTATTGGAATCTATGCAATCTGAAATCATTAGAAACATTTTAAAGCGAAGCTCAACTTCTCAAACAATCAACAAAACGACAAAATGGGGTCTAAACAAAGTGGCGAAGCGGAGCTTCGAATCACTTGAGATACAAAAATGAATGAATATGATTACGAGCAAATGAAAAGACAAAAATAGCTTAAAAAATGCGAAAAAGAAAAAATTCGTGGAACGAAAATGCCTGCTTTATTAGAAATTTTACAAAAGCTTTCAAAATGCTAACAAAAACCCGAACCTTTATGCGCGACCTAAGCTGACAAAATCTCCGCTTACGCGTATAATTGTCCCAAATTGGCAATTTTTAAACCCCCATAACTTTACCAAAAATGATCACAGGTGAAATATCTTTCTAAATTTAAGCTCACGGCAACAATACGTTTTGAATGATATTTTAAAAATCCCGTCAAATATGGCTAGTTAAAAAGTCGAAATTTGTCTGAAAAAAACACCCCGAGCAAAAATATTCCGTTACTTTCGTTACGAAAGTCGGAACAATAATAGTCTGTGTTACCATCCTTAATATTCGCTGTAATTAATAGCTGGTTATTGATCAAAATGAACACTTTCAAAATGAACACACTTTATCGCAACAATATTTGCGATTTAGGTTGGAAAAAAAAGATAGTTCATAGTATAACACAAGCTTAGCTTGCGTAAATAAATTTTAAAAAAAATTTTTTTAAATAGCAAAAAAAAGGCAAAACTTTTTAGAACTCCATTACTTGCCCAAAACCGGAAAACACTGAAATAAATGCATGAGCAAAAACGCCTAAATTTTAAGCAAAATTGGTACTGCGGCAACTAAGCCAACAAAAAAAGCAGACAAACAGAAGTCCGACAAAGATTTTTGGACGCGCGGACAATTTTCCGCTCAGAAAAAAAACACGTCCTGAGAGGATTCGAAATATTGACCTTTGTTTTTAAAGGCAGGTGCATTAGCTCTTCACCACATGCGAGCAATAAGTTCTGACTTTTGATTTCATATGAACCAAAGGTAAAATGATTCAAGTGATTCTGTTGAACTAGTTGTTTAACCGAAAAAACGTCTATAAATGGTTTGATAACGCTTGCTACTTAATCGCAAGTCTAAAAAACGCTTTTTTGTTCCGACCACAAAAATGGAGAGAAATTTCTTTTGGTGTTTTAGTTGTTTTTGGTTTGCAGTTCAATGCAATTGTACTAGATTATGCCTAATCTACTAGTTTTCTAAACTTTGGTCTGCTTCCTCTTATCACTCCATGTACTAAAAAAATGAAAAATTCTGGCCTTTTTCAAACTTTGCGATAATTGCACCACCTTATTATTGAAAACTGCGTTCTACGATGTAGAAATTGAGTATTTTCGATAACTCGGTATTAAATTTAGAAAATACATTCCAATATACTTTTGCACACCCATAACAACAACCATCAAAAGTCGATTTCGTCTGATTTCTATTTCAAAAATCAATGCACATCTACATCTAAGTTACTATTATTAAATTGTAATTATATAGAGAAAATTGGTAAAATTTAACAAGCACCAACTGTAATAAGAATCACCAGTTGCAAACCGAAGCTTAATGGGATTACTTTTCTGCCTGAAACAGAGATAAGAACCGCCTGATATCAGTCACTTTTTGACCAGTTTTTGCTTTCACGATACGTTTTATTCCTTTCAGTTACAGAAACAAGATGAAATTCGCCAGCAACACCATACGTTGATGTAGTACTTGTTGACTCAAAACGGCAGGGATCTGCCTACTATTTTCAATTTGTTCTGATCCGACTGAAAATCCCACAGTTTTTGATACGGCGATATCTCAACGAACTTATCCTTGGCTAGAAAAGCAGCAAATTGCTCCATTGAAGTCCGGTTCGAATCATCGCTCAACTTCAAAATGATCCAACGAATGTTCGTGTGGATCAGAGTTGAATCTTGCAACGCATTGGGCGTCATCCGGGTGTGGATATTAACTGGCTTTAGATACACCAACAGTTTAACTGTTCCTACACATCGATATGCAAATGCAGTTACAGGTGATACTTTTTAAACGCTCATAAGACTCAGAAAAGATGACTGAAATTGAAGACATTACCTTCGGGTGGGTTAAGTTCATAGTCGATGATTTGATCAGGATCCCAACTCGCTAGGCGGTTTACAGGTTGGGAGGGAGCTGACAAAATTTGATCTAGCGCTATCAATTCCTTTGAGCAAGCTAAAACAAATTGATCCATAAACATGTACATTGCAATCGAGACATTACAGTCATAGAAAAACCGACAGGCAGTTTTGTGCAGTTAAAATTACGTCACAGTCAAGAGGTCGGTACTATGAAGCTCACTATTGTCCATTTTCAAATTTTTAACCCAGAAAAAAGCGTTTCATGTATGTCAGTACTTCATGTTTCATGTGTGCCTGTAAATTTTCTGTACGAGGCTAAAAAGCTATTATGTTTGTGCTGTCTTGCTGACAAATGATCTTAATTGAACATACATAGAGAGTATTTGGAGCCTTTCTTTCGAAGGGCGTTGCTGGCGTTGACAAGTGAGCAACTGACTTTCAGAAGAGTGTCGTCCGGAATTCCGAAAGCGGACGAATCTTTCAGAGTTGATGTGCTGCCTATAAAACAACATCAGCATCTTAACTGGATTTTCTACAAATTCCGAATCAGGTGAGGTATAAAGTTAAAACATAGAGGCGAAGCAGAGCTTTGCACCACTTGCGATACAAAAAAAATGAATGACTATCACTACTGCAGATTAACAGAAAAATCGAAAAATAAACAAAACTTCAAAAAAAATTCCCAAAAAAATTATATAGACGTGGAAGCGGAGCTTTGCACACTTGCGATAGAACAAAATCACTTAAAAAAATTCAAAAAAATGAAAAATGTTAAAGAAAACATATCCAATCAAAGGTTGGAATAGAGCAATGAACGCAAGTAAACATTGAAAAAAAAAACACTTTCTTGGAAAAAATCTCAACTTTCGAATTTCAAAGAAAAAATAGATGCCCTTAAGCTCTTTGAATTTCTAGAACAATTTATGATTGGCGCTTTTTTGATAACATGAACCCAACTTGAGAAAACTGGATCAAAAGGCAAAGTTTTTATTCCGCTGGAAATCTAAAAATTAAATTCAACTTTCGAAACTAGAAATCGGTAACGTTTTTTCGCGCAATTTCCACGTTTGCATTTGGAGAGTGCTTTTTACGTCTCTTTCAGCAGATGAATTTCAATTGAACTCAAAAAGTGCATTATACTTAAGTGCATCAATATTTTAAGACTTTTTCCTGAACAAAAAATCGGCAAGATCTAGATGAGAGTCTTCACTACGTTTATTACTCTTAACTAGGTGAACCAAAACTTTCGTATTTATCGATGAAGGACATGAAGGACATATAAAACAAAAGCTGGATGAACATATTTGATATTCTTGATTTTATTATACTGCTGCATATTCTTGATTTTATTATACTAGTTGTTTGTCTGCTTAAATAAATAAGAGTGAAAACTGTGGAGATTTTGTAACAATTGCGATACAACACAAAAAACAATAATCGTAAAAAAACGATATATGGTGAAAAAACTTGTTGAACCAAAAAATTTTGCTTATCTTGATAGACGATAACTAAGATCCCAGCTAAAGCTTGTGGTTTGCATTTTGATATTGTTGAATTTGTTATACTCACACGGGATGAAATGGGTAATTTCCAAAATTGGGCCTTGTCCAAAACCTTAGTTAATTCTGTATGAAAAAACTAAGCGGAAGTCGTCGTTTTTGTAGGAAAAACTTGTGCAAACACTTTTTTCGGTTGAACTTTGCATCTCAGATTTGATGGGGTAATTTTAAAAAAAATCTTAAAATTTCCAAAAACGATAAAAGTTTCAAAACTTTCATTTGTTTAAAGGCCATATTTATATTTTTTTTAAATGGGCGTCGCAAATTATTGAGGTAAACTTTCATACAGAGGCGAAGTGAGATTAGGATTATCACGCTTTCACATCTCCGCAACCGCTTGTAATTTTACAATCGTCCATTTTAGCCATCAATCAAGCAGCTGCAGTTTCTATCAAATTGCCAACGCTACGCAGCAAAACTCGACAAAAAAACCTATTTCAATGTTCCGGATTCGAATCTCCGACCTGTTGGCTAGGAGTGTCATCCTCTCGCATCTGCGCCACGGTCGCTTAGAACTAAACTAGTTTTAATCATGTATTGTACTGATAAGAAAATGCGTATTTTTCAAAAAAAAAGGACGTTATGCAAGACCCATTTCTCCGCAAAAGTAAGCGATTAGCTGCTTAATTAAAGGAAAAAATACTACTCACTCTTTCATTTGAAGGCTTTATCTCTCAGTTGGCTGTATAGTTTTCCAAAAACAATTCAAACGACAAAAATTCAAAAATTAGACTTTTCCTAAATCCATAAACTTTTCTCTACTAAAGCATGAGAATGACCTCTTATGCAGAGAAGACTTCCACACCATGATTTTTAGATTAAACCCTTGTGATATCAAATTTAGCTAGTAGTTTTCCAGAATAGCGACGAAATTTCTTCGGTGAAAACGTTTCAAAAAAAGTCAAATAAAAAGCCCGATCCCATACAGTTTCATAAAACCTAATTTTATCAAAAGTAATTCAAGGCACACATGCTAAGCAAGATATTTCAAATCATATATAGCAATTGAAAAAAACTTAGGAAGCGGAAACAAGGCCGACAAGCTTGGAGCAAAAACCAGTTGAGCCGAAAAAAAAACTGATTCTGTAAAAAACTTTAAGAAGTTTCTAGTTCCCACAAGCGTTAAAAAATCCGAAATCTCAGAACTGAATTACCTGGACCTTTAAAAATTTTAGAAACCAAGGAGAAGCAAAACTTCGCAATGCTTGCGATAAAACACATACATAGCATGACAAACTAACAGACAGAAAAAGAGATGAAAGTCTTAAAAAAATGGTTTTCGTAAAATTTTCCGACATGCCTTGAATGAAAATTTTTTTCAACAAAATATGCCAAGAGGTGGCAAAACTGAATTTCAAATCAGCATCGAAAAATAACTAACAAAGCAGACAGTTCTTGAGCAGACACGTTGCGGCGAAAAAAAAAGTGATTTTAGTTTAAAAAAACTCCAAAAAAAGGTTTTTAGCTCCCCTCGAATAATTAGATAAAACCTTTTAGCTCCTCAAATGGCTGAAAAAGAGGCCTCTCAGTAATTTTTTACGGCAAACCTTTCAAGCCGAATAAACAAAAAACAGACAGAATAAAAAATATACATCTTGAAATCGGAGTTGGTAAATTTATAACCAACAAAATAAATTTCGAATAGAACCAGCATTTAATTTGCAGACAAGCTCAAAAATTATCTGTTTGTTGACGAAGCAACAAATGGAGATGATCAAATTGTAGTCATGCTGTGCATGAATTGTTTACAGTGGAAAAAGCCTAGTACCCGATTGCAACACCCTTGCTTATCGTCGCAATGGTAAAAATGATGAAAACAATATAATTTGAGGTCTCACATTTAGTGCGCCTGAGGAGAAAGGACCGATATTGGAAGTCAGCTAGAGTCTTCTCCAAATCTAACTCAACTCTCTCCTGCTCATTGTAAGGTACCAATGCGTAGGGAGGACCTGGAAAAAAACTTCATAAATTCTGTTTAATACTGGTGTTTGCCTTCCTCTTCAATAAGGAATTGAACTCAACTTGAAAATTTATTCTGCTGTGAAATCTGAAAACTAAAATCTAGAAACTAGAACTCGATCACGCTTTTCCTGACCTTTATACTTTTGCTGTTCAATAGTGGATTTCACCTTCCTTATAACTAAATTAAAGGAACAGAATTTACAAAGAAATCAAACCGCGAAAAATCAAAATTTAGCGTGCAAATTTTTAGACTATTCATTGAAAAACAAAGGAAAAGAATTCATGAACTCAAACTTTTAAATATATAAAAACGTGAATGGCTAACAAACCGACCATAGTTAGGTTTTCCTCCAAAAAAGAACCTCATGCCTTCGTCGTAAATATACTGAAGAGGAGTGTTTCTGTCGGTCAACTGCATCGTTTTTGTAACTGCCTTTCCCAACATGTGTCTAAAGAAATGCAGCATCATTTTATCATCTCGAAAAACTTGACATCGACACACGACACGTAGTAAAAAGAACTCGGTTCTTGGTATGCTTAAATTGTTTATACAAACTGCGGTCGCCTCTTTTCGGTTAGATGTCACAAACCACACAAAAGACAAACTGCTTCGAGTTCATCGAAACTAAAGACTAGTCAATTTCAAACCTAATTTTTCTAATTTAAATCGGATAATTTGCTATTAAGAAAAATGCAGGTTGGTACATTGTTTCATACGAATTCAAAGCGATATCTCTAACTATTTTGAAAAAAAAAAGCCCGAAACTGTTTCAGATAGGCTCGACATGGGCGGCCAGATTCTCTCTTCTCCTCCTCATTTTAGGTCAAAAACCCTCTTTGTTTCTTCAGCTTCTCAACGGTCACTAATCGTTAGTAAATTCTAGCTTTGAAAAAAAAAAGATTGTTTTCATTCTTAGGTCATTGGTGCTATTGCCAGCCTCACGATCAGTACCCCAATTTCAAGGCCAATCAGCGATTCCCAAATTACAACCATCAAAACACCCCAACTTCCCCTGCAAACAGTTTGAAAAGCGAGGACGAAAATGTCCACCGAGGGACAACTGAAAGTGGAAACCAAGTAGCATTCTCAGCCTACAAGACTCGGAATCAGGATGGTACCATTCGACAGGCATCAGTGGTTGTTTTCGAACAGATGACAATTAATGTCGGGAACTCCTTCGAGCCCCAAACAGGCTAGTTTTTTTGTTAATGTCTAGAACTTTTTCTCGCATGAAGTTCCAGAAGTATATACGGAAACTATCATTCCACAAACTCCCATCCCATCAAACACTTCCATGACCAATTTAAGGTAGATCAATTTGACTTTCTGATCTCCTTTAAAGCACCAATAAGACCCCAGTCAGAAAGAGTACCAAAGAAGCCATTTTTGAGAACTTCTTGGAAGGCCTTGGTAAACAAAAAACGTTTTCCCGGCGTGCATTAATGGCCAACTCTCAACTTCCTGTGGAATGGGTGCTTGATTGGATCATATATTCGCTAAAATCGTCCATTTTAGGAATCTTCATTTGTCGTATTCCCGGGTTATACATGATCACCTTCACTGCTGCTGCAAACATCGGTCGAAAGCTCAACATTGACCTAATCAAACTGAGCGCAACAGGAGCCGAAACAGTATTGGGTGGTCTTCTCAAAACCAAATCTTCCTCAAAGCATATCGAGGTCTATTCGAGAACCATTCTAGTACATCTCGTCATAGGTGACCAGCTGTATATTCGACAAGCAGCTGGTATTGTTAACGGTTTATACAGTGACTGGGAGAAGCAAACTTCATATGCCGGTTTTTTAGTATACCCCGATTCAAATCCGCAAACGATGACGAAACCCAACAACCCATTGAGCGGATCGAACATTTTCGTTTCGAACGCAACCCAGAAAGAATCAATCTTGGATCATCAAGGTCAAAATCGGTTCACTTCAGCTCCGTCAAAACCAAACATGGAAGCATCGGAACGAATGAATACACAGTCGAAGTTGAAAAACACGAACGAAATGAACCAATTTTCAAAAGACTTAAACATGAAACCCCCGAACGCAGAAACGATGAAGACTTGGTTCAAGTATTTGTACAATGGATTGAAGAAAGTCGGAGACAACATCGTAGAGGAAGAGAACTCGGCTTCCAATCTGAACGAGAATTGGGATTCTCGTCAGAAACAGGGCGCTCAGACTCAGAACCGTCACAAACACTCAGTGGATCACAGCGCGGAGCTTTAGACGAAACTCAGAACAGAAGAAAAGATGTGACCAATGAGGATCCTACTTATGCTGACATTGTTCCAATTGATGGAATTTTGTTTATCATCGCCATTATTATCAGACTATTGTTGCGATATTTAGAACTCATAACGCAAATACTATCATGAAAAAATTCCAAAAAACATCTACCTAGTAATTGCAGTTACATAGTTATCTTAATTGAAATCAATAGAACTTACATGTTCACTGCGATGAAGGGAGATTTTTCTGAAGATGCCTGGCTTTCAAGTATCTCTGAAACAGCGAAACGCAAAGCCCCCATAGTAAACCAGGTTCATGGTTCTGAAAGTTAGAAACTTAGTTGAATTGGAAAAAAGTGGACTTAAATTATATTACAATGCTCGCAAGCACCCTTGTTTAAAAACGGATCAATGAAGGTCCTTTTAAATCCCGCTGTCAATGTGAATTGTGAACCTGAAAATCAAGTACATTTTCCGCGCCAATTTGCATTTTAGTTATAGGAGAGCTTAAAATGTCTTCCATTTGCGGTAATTGAAAGCAAATAACTATTATTAGCCAAATCTATCTTTACAGTAAATTGTGACTTGGAGAAATGCAGAGCATTCACTTTTGATTACCGAAGTGAAACTTTTTATTCGCAAACTTAGTTGTCAAACGGCAGCTAACTTTTAAATAGCCTAACTTTTCAAAAAAAAATTAGTCTTAATTTTCAACTTTTTATGGGCGGATAATGCTTATCGGTATTCGATCAAAAATTTTTCCTGGTCACAAGTGGTTCTCACCGCGAGGCCTGAGCATGTAAAGATCCATAGCGTAGTTCAACGCAAGAGTATTCGGATCAACGTCCATTGGCTCAATGTCGTCGTCGTCATCTTCATCGATCAAGGCTTTCAACTCGTAATCATCCACCGATACTGATGGCCTAAAATAAATTTGCACTTGGTCGCGTTTTGAATGTAATACTATTTCAGACACAAAATATATGGTATTTAAAACACAGAGGCAACAATATAGTGTTTCAAATACCATATCTTTTGTGTCTTAACAGCTTTAAGACTCAACTTTTGTGCATTAGTATATAAAATTAATTGGTTTTTATTGAATCAATCATTTCCGAAAATTGATACTTCATTATGACTAAGAATACTTTGCTTTCGTACATTAAAGTTTTGACGCATTGAATTCTCTGGCCAAAATATTCAAGGACCCACGTTTTTTCCCAGGTCGTTTTGATGCTATGACCTCATAAATCATTGTACAGTCCCAAAAACTCTCTGTTGAGTTTTTTTATTCCACTTTATTTTATATCGATAAAAATCTTTTTTTTTCTGAATCAGCAGTTTATGAACCACATTGATTTGAAATTCGAACTTGTGTGCTTTTGAAAACTCTAGTGTCCAGAGTTACGCGTTTCACAGTAAGTTCGTCTTAGGGAGGCTTCAGTATGTTAACACTATCTTCTCCTGAATACCTTTGTCGCGTTGATTTTTTTAAATTTCTTGATTACCTAACTTTTGACCCCCGTTATCATCTTACGACATTGGGCGTAAGTGAAGATGATTGGTGCCACCAAAACATCTTGTTTCTTCTCAGCTATGAGCAGGAAACCGTCAATTGAGCAAATTATAAAAATAATTTGAGGACAAAAATTAGATGGATTTGATACTCTTGGGAATATTGGGATTCGGCTAGGAAATTTTTCAAAACTCAATTGTTTCTATCGATTACACCTCAAAGAAATTTATTTTTAAAAAAGAGTCCGTCAACAACAATTTCTTTTGGGATACTTTCAGAAATTGTGAAGATATTCACTATGGTTGTTACAGCATTAACTGTACTTCATGCCAATCTGAATCAAAGCTGGAAAAGTTAGTTAAATTGATGCTTTGTGAGATACTTTTTTAATTATAAATGACCCGCTCAAAAAAATTCCCTAAAACAGGTAGATGAGAAATTCAAACTTTTGAATACTTTCCGTTTAAACATTTTTTTGGCTGGAAAAAAAATTCGCTCAATTTCATTTTTATTGTTAGTTTTTTTGGATCAACCGACTGCTCGCTATGAATTTTCTCTGCAGACTTTCTACTAAACTCAGCCGACAATACTTGGGAAACGCTAGTCGAATCAAAAACAAAATAATTGTCATGAAAAATTGAGCTATGAAGTTTGTTTTGAAACGTCCCCCCTCTAACCTTAAAAGAAAAAAATCTAACTTTGTTCTCAAACAACGCAAAAGTAGGCATCTAAGCCGATATAATATTGACCACAACCGTCAGCCGAAAAATCCTTCACAGCGGAAAAACATAACTAAACTACATACAAGCTACAACTTTGTAAACAAGCAAAAAAAGCTGCATAATTGAGCTTAAAAACGCACAAAAACAAACTCTGTAATGATGTGGAAGGTTATAATCTAAAGGCAACCAAACTAACTTTGCATGTAATAAACTCGAATGCATTAAAATGGTGTAAAAACTATACTATTTTATAAATTTCGTGAAATACATTAATTTAGAAAGTTTCTACACAGAGGCGAAGCTGAACTTCGCACCACTTGCTATACACAGAAAAGCTCCAAAAATCAAAAGATAATGAGTCTTTAATAAAATTGAAAAACATGAATTTTGTTGAAATAGTAGGCTCAAAAATCAGGAAAAAAAATATTTCAATTATTATAGAAGTCAATTACCTTCAAAAGAAGATTTGAGCTTAACTCCATCCATTTAACCAATAGATGAAAACGACAACAAAACACTTCGGTCAAAAAATTGAGATACGCTAATTCCTAAATGTACAAAAAACTAAATCTTTCAACCAAACAATCTGCAGATCCAGTTAGAGCAACCGGGGATAAAGGCCCTATCCACTATGGCATAGGATCAAAATTAAAAAGAAAACTCAACACAGGCGAAGTTGCACCAATAACGCTACTGGGAAAAACTGAATGAAAAAACATTGAAACTACAAAATTTCTTAAGTGACGCACGCCAATTATGAGTCTACATAATTTCCAAGTGACGCAAGCCAATTATGACGCATTAGCAGCACCAGCCAATTAAAAAAAAATTTACCAACTAACAGGCCTCAATTTATAGAGCCGACGCATTTTAACTAGTTCATAAGATAGTTCATACTATAACACAAGTTTGTTTCTAACACATGAATGCAAAAATTACAAACAATTGCCACAAAAAAGAACTTGCAAAAAATCTGGAAAAACTCTGAAAGTCTAGTTTTTCCAGATTTTTTGCAAGTTCTTTTTTGTGGCAATTGTTTGTAATTTTTGCATTCATGTGTTAGAAACAAATTTGTGTTATAGTATGAACTATCTTATGAACTAGTTAAAATGCATCGGCTCTATAAATTGAGGCATGTTAATTGGTAAATTTTTTTTTAATGCAAATACATCAAGAATTATCAGTAATGACATTTAGACGCAACGGTAGAAGAGCTAGATCACAAAACAAAAAAAACCGCCAAAAACGGAAATAAAAAAACATGACAATTTTTTTTCACAAATTGAAACAATACGCTAAACCATCAACTTGAATGGATTTCAAAAAACAAGTTGCTTAAACCTACAACACATCTAACTAATTAAAAGTAAAACTAGTTTCAGTCTTTTTAGAACAAAAAAATCAAAAACCATATATCCTAAAAAAAACTGATTTTTTTTTGCAAAAAAAATTCTAGCTGAAAAATTCACAAAAAAAGGACGATAAACCAGAAAACCATGAACTATATTTATCCTCATGAAAATGAAGAAAAAGTATTAAAAAATCCACCACAAAAATTACAGAATTGATTACCCGGCAAGTAAGCCGACAAAAATTGGTTCGAATTCAATAAAACCGATAAAAAAATCAACTTACATCTAAAAACCCTTTTCAACTGTTAAACAATAATCACTTTAGTCATTGAAGCCAGGTTTTGAATAAAGTTGTTAGACGTGCATCTCGAATAGAAACAGAGATTAGAAACACAATTGGAGAAGTTTACGGAGGAAAAAGTCTAGTATCCGATTGTAATACCATTGCTTATCGCAAGGCTTATTATGGAATTGTTAAACAAAGGCGAAGCGGATTTTTGCACCCCAGCACAAGAGAGCCGCTACTTAAAAATTGAAAAAAGGAACTCGAAAATGTCACAAACGAAGCAAAAAAGGAAACAATGTGAAATTAACATCGGAAAACAAGCGGTAAAAAAGCCGAAACAACCGTAGCAGAAACCCTCAAGCCGAAAAAAAAACAGAAGTCCTTTTCAACCTCAAAACAAATAAGCACGCTAAACTTTTTCAATTGTCAAACGAAGCAATATGAGGCCACTAAACTAAAAAAAAATAGCCTACAGACAGTTGAAAAGGAGTCAATGAACGCAAGTAAGTAGAAAAAATACTGATTTATTATTATTTTTTGAAAAACCTTAACTTTTATAATTCAAAGGACAAAAAAAATCTTTGAGCTTCAAGAAAATTTTATGATTGGCTTTTCTATATAATTAAATCCTATTGAGAAAACTGCACTAATGCACTAAAAGGTAAAATTTCTATTCCGATGGAAAATCTTAAAATTAAACCCCACTTTCGAAACTTAAAGTCGATCACATTTTCCCTTACTGTTACACTTTTGCTGTTCGATAATGAGTTTGTCTTCCTTTTAACAATGGAGATGAATTCAACTTCAAAAGAAATCAAATGTCAAAGCGCGAAAAAAAAATAAGCCTGAAAAAATTTAAGGACTTTTTCTGACGCAGTTGACTTGTTGCTAGCAGAGGCTTCCGGGAATCTATTCCAGTGAGTCCTGTGAGCACAAATTTTTTACACGCGAAAAGTCTTTTAACCGGTTGCAATACACTTGCTTTCGCAAGTGTAGTTATTAAAACGTTATATGATGCAAACGCCTTTTTTCTGTTCAATTGATAAATCAACACAGAGGCGAAGCTGCGCTTCGCATCACTTGCGATACAAAACCAGAAAACCGCTTAGTCAGAAAAAATCAAAAATATCGATAATACTAGATCCATCAAAAATGAATCAGGCTAGTTTTGAAAAAAAGCCAAGACAATAGAAGTGAAATTCACGTCTGCCGGAAGAAAAGTTACCAAGCGGTAACAAAGCCCAAAAAACTTTAGCAGCTCCCCTCAACCTCAAAAAGTTAACATGTCCTCCTCACCCTCAAAAAATTAACAAGTCCCCCTCACCCTCAACACACACAAAACTTAATTGTTCGTCAAAGAAACAACACAGATCACTCAGCCGATACTAAATAGGCCGAAACCTATTAAGCCCAGAAAAGGAAAATTAAAAAAAGTTGAAAAAAAACCTTTAAAAAATTTAGGAATAAAAAATTAATAGGTCCCCTTCCTCCTCAAAACACAAAACTGATACTCGCCCTAGATCTGCAATGAAAAACACTTGCAACTAAAATAAAAAAAAATTGTTTACAGCAGAAGAAAAATCCGTAATACGGCAACTAAGCCCACAAAATGTAAGAAGACAAACTAAAACCCAATTCAATTTTACATGGAAAAAAATTATATGCAAAAAATTCATACAAAGTGAAAAAAACACAAGGTACTGCCACGAATCGAACCCCAAACCTTCGGCTACAAAGGCAACCGGTTACCTCCAGGCAAAGTGGGAAATAGTCTCGAAGTTGCTTAGGTTCTCTAATACAGCAACTTCACAATTTCTTACACATTTGGAGGTAAAGTTGATTGCACGAAAAAGTCTTGTAACCAATTACAAGACACTTGGTCTAGCATAGAGGAAAAATAGCCATCTGACAGTTGGAAGAGTCAATGAACGTACGAAAAACAGTAAAGAAAAACTGACCTTTTTTTGAAAAAAAAACTCAACTTTCGAACTTCAAAGAAAAAATAGATGCCGTTAGAGTTACGATTGGCACCACTGTGATAAACTGAACCCAATTTGAGACACAGAAGCGAAGCTGTATCTCAAATTCAATCAAGAGCACAATCGCAAACACAATCAAGAAAACGACAAAAAAGCTGCTTCATTAATTAAATAAAAATGGAAATATAAAAGTGGAATAAGAATGTAAGTGAAAAAAGAATGGCAGTGCAATAAGAATGAAAATACAAAATCGAATTAAGCCTGAAGTTAAAAAATATTTCTGCCACGAGACGGATGCGACCTATAGATAAAGAATCTCACGCCCTAACCTCTCAGCCACGGACGCTTAACTATCTGCAAACACTAGCCGACGACAGATGCTAAGGAAATTCTAATGAAAATCAAAACGCAAGTTTTTATTTCGCTGGAAAATCTGAAAATAAAATTCCACTTTCGAAACCAGAAGTCGATCACGTTTTTTTACCTTTATACTTTTGCAGTTCGATAGTGGAGTTTGCCTTCCTTTTAACAAAGCAAATGAACTGAACTTAATCAAAAGTCAAACCGCGAAAAAGTAAGTTTGAATTTTAAAAAAATCAAAAAAATCATCATGATTTATATACAAGTCGGAACTATGTTTATCGACTCTCAATATTCAAAAAAAGTTGTTTAAAAAAGATAGGCTAAAACTGCTATAACTCAATAACCTGCTTTCAAAATGACTTTCAACACAGAGGCGAAGCTGAGCTTCGCACCACTTGCGATAAAAACAAAAGTTATAGGATGAAAGCAGCAAGACGCTCAAAAATTAGCAATCAGAAAATTGAACGATGTTACAATTGGAGAAACTGAAAAAACTTTATGACACACGGAAAAATATAATTTTTTCTTCTTTAAATCTATTAGTTTCTCAAAGAGATCATTGTGAGGTTGATTTTCGGCATCCAAATATTGGTGCCAGAGACTTATCGATCTCAAAAGTACAGCTGGACATTCTTAGGAAAAAAATCGGTAAACAAGCTGACAGAATTGAAGCCGACAGCCCATCAAGCTGAAACTCAAAAAACTATATTGAAAAAAAATGCATATCAACAGCGTATGAAAGTGGACTACAGAATTTTGAAGCTAAACGACAGAGCAAGTCGAAAATCATCAAGCCGAAAAACCATCAGCAGAAAATTCATGTCGAGACTCCATAATTATACATACAATAGTTTGAGTTCTAGATAAAGCATGCACCAGTAGAAACTAGTACCCAATAATTAAGTTCAAACTTGCATGAAATTGAGCATGTCAGCAGAATAGCAACATCATAAGTGCTTCAACTGATTTTGTTAAACTAATTCTTAACCCGAAAAAAAGTATTTATTTCCATTTCATAGCGCTTTGCTAACCCGTAATTATATTTAAAAGAGTCCAACTAAAAAGTAGACTATCGCTTCAACTTAAGAGTCCCGAGTTTAAAGTTGAACATGGATTCTAAAGGCTGTTCTCCTGACCGGATTCAAATTCCAGATCTTTATCGTACCAAGCATAAGAGTAACCTCTACGCTAAGCGGGTAAAAGTACAAGCAAAAAATTGACAAGCAGTTAACTTACAGCTGAGGTTTGTCAAGCCCATTACCAGAGTCCAGGGCAGTCTGGTACTTGAACAGAGCCAAACCCATGACATCATACACTTTACACGTCTTGACGAACCGAACCCTCATAATTTCTGAAGCCTTAGCTTTCCTCGCAGCTTCGTCACAGGAGACACAGATGTTGAACTCATTGCGGATGTCACGACCATTTACAACGGGGACCTGCAAAAAGCTTATAAATGCAATCATACAGGGTAGTCATCGTCTCTACCATTCAAGTATGTCCTCCAAACAACCGAGCATTTCGAAAAAATTCAGATTATTGGTTCTTAACTTAAGCTGTAGAGACTTTCGCTTAATCCAATTTTGATACTAACCAGTGATCCTATCTAAAAATTTAGTACATTATTTGCTTTTTGATACAGATACGGTCAAACTTTTCTATGAACAGCCAATTCCCAAAACAGAGGCGCAGAGGAGCTTCGCATCACTTACGATACAACGAAAGCGTAGCATTGCCAGCTAACAAATAGATGAAGCGATGGAAATTACTAAGTCGGATAAAAAATAAAATGGATTCAGTAAAAATTCTAACTAAAAAATTGAAAATAAGATAAATTCATTTTTGAAAAACGGACGTGAAATACATTAACTAGCATTAAACAAGCTTTCAGCATTCACCGAGCATTCAATAAGGCAACAACACAAAGTATTTTGCGAGCATTCACTAAGGCAACAACACAAAGTTAGAAATCAATTGACACGAGTCCAAAAAAGACAAAGGAAATTATTGACAAAATGAACAATTTTTTTTTTGGAAGTATGAAAAACTACATTTCAGAAAAACAGACAAAAACACACTACCAATATTATACAAGTTTAAATAATTTTCCCAGCGTTAACTGAGCCAAGTGATCCGAAAAAAAATGCGAGTAAATTGTTGTCTTTTTTGAGCGATTAAAAAATTGAAATTTTTTCTTTTATACTACCGACCGACCTAATTTTAACAAACAAAAAAAACAATTTTTTTAATTTAAAGCAGATACAAAAAAAGTTAACTATACCAAAAAAAAATTTTGACACGGTACTTTTTGAGAAAAGTCAAAAAAATAAACGGTCCCAAAAATAAACAAATTTGACTTTTCCGAAAGCTATACCTTTTATCTACAAAAATAAGGGCATACCAGCTTATCCAGCATAGAAATCCGAAATCTGTTATTCCAATTGAACCATTAATATTAAAATTGGAAAGGTAATTTTTAGAGAACAGTTAAAAACTTCCGAAAAAACGGTCAAAGCTTCAAAACTTAGACTTTTCCCTAGGCGCTTAGTATTGCAAAAAATTAGGGCCGATAGTCAGGGACGAAAGTCAAAACTCGTCATTTCGATTAAACTTTTGATATCCTATTTGGCAAAGTAGTTTTCAATAGAAGTAACAAAGTTTCCAAAAACCCTTAAATACTCGAATAAATTTGACTTTTTCCAGAAGTAAATTAAAATTCTAAAAAGACTGGAGTGTAGCAATTTACGCCGATAGGAATCCCAAAACCTGCTTCTTCGAATGAACCCTTCGAATGAAGATATGACAGGGTAGTTTTAAGAAAAATGTCAAAACATGACCAAACTCTCAAAAAAGGGGCCCTTTGAGTCCACAGCTTTTTTTTTGTATCAGATTTAAGACGTATCGGCTTCTGTAGAAGATATCCCCACTACCTGATCTTGCTATTGAAGTTTTAATCTCAATTTTGGCACGGTAGCCTACAAGGAAAAAATCCAAGCTATTGAGTCAAACATCCCCACGTTTAAACTTTTGAAGGTATTTGAAGGTAGATGGAGGTACGCAGACATAAAATAAAATAACCGTATTTCTTTTGTGCTATTTTCAAGTGAAGCAGTTGTCGAGAAAAATTAAATATTCGGCGAACAATGAAAAAACTTGCCAACGCGTCTCAAAACAATGAAAAAAATGATTTCATAAAATTCGAATTTAACGAACAGGAATTTTTTGCCTTCGAAACTACGCGATAGAAAATGACTAAGCAATAAAACAAAAAGCTAAACTGTTTGATTGAAAAAAAATATTAATTAAAATCAGACTTGGACAACTGACAATTTACAGAACTTTTAACTTTACTAAAAAAACTCTAAAACGAAATAAAATCGACGCATTATAAAATAAGCCGATTACAAACAGTTCCAGATGATATAAACTCAATATGAAAACAAAAACGAAAGTGAACCGACGGAAACTAGACCGAAAATCACAGAACCCGAAAAAAAAACAAATTTAACTTTTCTTTTCGAGAAAATTGTTTGAAACACAAATTAACCCCGGAAACGGACTACGACTATTTACTACCTAAATAAAGTTGTTTTAAATTAAATTTTCAAGAAATTGAGCGTTTCTTGAAACTTACCGTTCCTAAAAACTGACCGGGGAATTTCTGTTAACGGGGAAACATTCTAGTACCGATTGCAATACCCTTGATTATCGCAAGAGTGAGAAACTATGAGAAGTAATCAACGAAACTTGAGACAACAATGAAAAAGGCTTACAGCGCAAAAACATCGTCGCGTGGCCACTTAGCCGACAGAACAAAAGCCGGCAAACTGTTGTCCGATAATTCAATTTTTGGATTCCCACAATCTGGGAGGATTATGCTCGTAGGATTCCTACAAGCTGCTTTTAGACCGAATCCTTAATTCAAGATACGAGACGGTAGTTTTGGAGAAACACTTCAAAACCATGACCAAACTATCAAAAGTGATTTTTTAGGCCACAACTTTTTTCAAAAAACCAAACTACCTGTTCTTGCCCTTGAAGTTTTAATCTCAGATATGGCGCGGTATTCTTTGAGGAAAAAAATCGAAGAAAATGAGTCAAACATTTCACATGCTAAAATTTTCGAAGGCCTTAGAAGGTAGAGTAAGCTTGAAAGAGACTATGAAAGTATACAGAAATCAAAAATAACAGGATTTCAATGGTGCCAATACATTGAAAATCAGTGAAGAAGTTGTCGAGAAAAACTAAAACTTCAGTGAAAAACGAAAAAATTTACCAAAGCGTCTCAAAAACATAATTAAAAAATACGGTTTCAGAAAACCTGATTTAGGGAAGATTTTTTTTCCTCGGAACTATGCAATAGAAACTGATCTTGCTTGAGGTAAAAACCGCTTAATTGAAAAAAAATTCTCGAAATAAGAATATTATAAATCAGACTTGGAAAACAGACAAATTACAAAACTTTCAATTTTAGTAAAAAAATTTCTACTACCAAAATACGATCTAAGCTTTACAAAATAGGCCGATAACAAAGTACCAGATGACATACACTTTATTACTTTATTTGAAAAAAAAGGAAATTGAACCGTTGGAACAAGGCCGAAAACTCCGAACCCGAAAAAAAAACTTGAGAAAAGTATTTGAAAACAAATTATCCCCGGAAACAGGCCACACCTATTTTTTATCTGAATAAATTTTTTTTTTGAATTTTCAAGAAATTGAGCATGTCTTGTAATTCAGCTTTCCTACAAAATTGACCATCCTGAGAACCAAGATATTTACGATAAAAAGTCTGAATCCTTTTAGACTGAATCCTTAATTCAAGATACGAGACGGTAGTTTTGGAGAAGCACTTCAAAACCATAACCAAACTGTCAAAAGTGATTTTTTTGAGGTCACAACTTTTTTCAATAAAACTTAGGAGGTAACGGCTTGTGTAGAAGAGATCCCGACTACCTGTTCTTGCCCTTGAAGTTTTAATCTCAGATATGGCGCGGTATTCTTTGAGGAAAAAAATCCAAGAAAATGAGTCAAACATTTCACATGCTAAAATTTTCGAAGGCGTTAAAAGGTAGAGTAAGCTTGAAAGAGACTATGAAAATATACAGAAATAAAAAATAGCAGGATTTCATTGGTGCCAATACATTGAAAATCAGAGAAGAAGTTGTCGAGAAAAACTAAAACTTCAGTGAAAAACAAAAAAATTTACCAAAGCATCTAAAAAACATAATTAAAAAATACGGTTGCAGAATACCTGATTTAAGGGAAGAAGATTTTTTTGCCCTCGAAACTATACAATAGAAACTGATCTTGAGGTAAAAACCGCTTAATTGGAAAAAAAAATTCTCGAAATAAAAATATTATAAATCAGACTTGGAAAACAGACAAATTACAAAATTTTCAATTTTAGTTAAAAATTCTACTACCAATATATAATCTAAGCTTTACAAATTAGGCCGATAACAAAGTACCAGATGGTATACACTATATTTGAAAAAAAAGGAAATTGAACCGTGGGAACAAGGCCGAAAACTCCGAACTCGAAAAAAAAAATTAATATTTTTTGAGAAAATTATTTGAAAACAAATTATCCCCGGAAACAGTCCACACCTATTTTTTATCTAAATAAAGAATTTTTTTTTAAATTTCAAGAAATTGAGCATGTCTTGTAATTCAGCTTTCCTACAAAATTGACCATCCTGAGAACCAAGATATTTACGATAAAAAGTCTAGGACCGATTGCAATACCCATGCTTATCACAAGGGTAAAACACTATATGAGTTAATCAACCACACTTGAGATTACAATGAAAACTGCTTACAGTTCGAGAAGATCGTGGTGTGGTATCTAAGCCGATAAAACACAAGCCAGCAAACTAGAATCCGAAAATTCAATTTTCTTCCCGGAAAAAATTCAATATCAGGCATTTAAACAACAAGGTCCGGTCGCGACTCAAAACCCAGACCATAAGTTGCCAATACAACCGCATTACCTCAAGTCCAAGTGAGATGGGGATTAGAACACTCGAAGACTCGATAAAAAAATTGTTCGCATCAATTTAAATTTTTCCGCTAACTTTCTTAATCAATTTTTCTGAAGCCTGTTTTTTAGCAGTTTTTTTCGCCAATTTTGGGTACTTATCAAATTGATTGCCAAATCCTTGAAAAATTTATTTGAAAAAAGTCGAAGTAAGTTTTTCGGGAATATCCATTCACAACAATTTGTCGTAAAAACTCAGATAGTTTGCTTTTTTGCATCACTGTGATATTTGAAATTAATTGACTTACGTGTATTTGGGCGTAAAATCGAATCCCGCTCGATCGATTTAACTTTTTGTCAATTGAAATTGTTCAAATTAAATTAAAATTTTTCATTTAAATTGAGTGGGCTCATAATTTTCCATTTAAATTAAATTTAAATGAAAGTTTAATTTTTTGAAATAGACATCACTTATCCAAGATGTAAAACCAAAAGTATCATCGAATTTTCGCTATTCAATGCAGCTCTTTTATTTGATCCGATTGACATAATATACTTTTATACGTAAATTAAGCTTGATCAAACTAAACTTTTCTTTCGTATTTCGCAAAAAAAAACACTGCTTTGCGGATCTGTCTATGAAGTTTCGCAAAAAAGTCGATAACTCACAGTCGTTGCAAACTTGGAGAAGCTCAAGAAAGGATTTTTTGGCACAGATGCTACATGTTCCAGCGCACTTATGAAAGGAGACGATTTCTTGGGTTTTTCTACTGCTTCGCCGGAGTCCAACTCTTTAGGGCGAATCAATTCAGCCAGTCTATCTAATACGTAACAGAACTAAACTCATAAATGTATTTCTTTGAGCTAATGCCGTTAGTAAAAGAGGTAATGCTTCGTTTTAAGTTTCTCTGTATCACTAATGTAAAATTAAGTAATCATAAGCCCGGTAGCAAAAATCGATAACGCAACAAACTTATTATTTCACTTTTCATTGTTGTTCCTGAATTAAAAAGATACTTGGAACCATAGTCTAACCTTGGTCGCATATAATATCACCATCTGCCCATGTAATGATTTTGTTCTTCTCAACTCGCGCCTCCGCTTTTCTCAGCGCATCTCCTGATGCACTGCGATCAGGTCTGGATGGCTCATTCGGGTACAAGGAACCTCTTTTTTGTTTCGCGTCGATAGCACTTTGTCTCCTCCCGGGCACAACAGGTGAGACAGACGTGATTGTTGGTCTGTTCACGCTCCCACTTAGAAGCGTTGAAGAAGTTGTCTGACTGGGAATGTAATCCTCTAGGATGTTCAACCCCATCTGTTTTTCCCGAGCTGTGCGTCTTGTTCTTTAAATACCCAAATTAAAAAGTTTCATATTGGTCACATATTGGTTTAAGAAAGCATTAACGAGCTGATATTAATGATTACTGAACAATCTCGAGATTAATTTAGTTTGATGATAGAGATCAGGGGCGGATAAAAGATTTTTTCGTGGGTGGTTCGGATTTTCAAAAATTGTGTCGACCTTATTTAGGTCGACCAAATTGATTTTTTGAGCTCCCCCAAATCACTATAAAGATCCTATTTTGATCAAAATTTCTTGGCCGCAGCCGAATTTTCATTGCAATTCGAATTTTTATTGCACTGCAAATTTTTATTCCTTACTTTTATTAAAATTTTGAAGTCGTTTTATTGCACTTAAAAATTTAGACCAAATATTGCACTTTTTCGCCGCTCTCTCCCACTCGAAAGTGTTATATTTTGAAGCAAAAGGGCCAAAGAAAAACTGAAAGGACGGTCACCTAAAAATGGATGTCTTAAAGTAGTACCAAAGGGAGACTCTTTGGGTCGGCAGTGAGGTCGCAAAAGGGGACCCCCACCCTTCCTAAATCCAGCCCTGTACTAAAGATTTGACACAACCTCCCGACTCCAGAAAAAAATCTACTTACCTTATTTCAGGTGAAATACAAACAACTTTTGCTTCATCACTTTCAGCTTTTATTGCTTTTGCCCGGATAATTTAAATCAGAGCTTTAAACGAAAAAGTTGACAAATCGACAGGACGGAGCATCAGTTGAAATACATCAAAAAAAATTTCGGTCAAGTTAGCAGACAAAAAAAGGGGCGGAAGCCACTAAGTCAATAAATTTGATTAGCAAGAAAATCGACCGATACTTTTTCAACATAAATCAATTTTATTTCCAGGAAAACGTCACGGAAGAAAATTGTTAGCTTAAAATTTGTGTATCGCCAATTCATACTATTTCTATTTAATTCGGTTCCGATCAGATTTAAGTCTCGTGAGCAACTTTTAGAGCAAAAACAAATCAATTTGACAATAGAAAAAACCAGTTGAGCCAAAAAATTCTGCTCCTCAAAATCAAACACACTTTGCCACAATTATTCATGAAATTATTACAACTATGCATACAGCCAATAGACCGTTGAAAAATGTCAATGAACTCAAAGACACAAACTTTCAACTTAAAATAAACGTCAATCACTCTTTTTCATGCCATCTGCACTTTTATTATTAATAGCGTAATGAGCCTCACATTTAGCAAATGAATTTGAGTTGAGCATGCAAAAATTTTACGTCAAAATTCCAGCCACTTAAAATCAAACTTAAGCTTGAGCAGCTTTTCGTTTGAAAAACTATCAACACGCCCTATATATAAATCTTCACTACGTTCATTGGCATTTAAAAGAACTTAATTGATCTCCGTTCCCAATTTCGATAACCTGAAAGAAAAAACTAAACAGTAGAATAGCATATTCCGTAATTAAATTCGAAGCGCAATGGCAATTAGAAAAATAGTGAACCTGAAAACATATTTTTTGGCGCTATTTTCCAAATTTTGTTCTTTTAAGGACGTGGTGACAGAAGAGCAAGTATAAATTTTTTTGCTCCGATCACTAATAGTCGAGGGTGTCTTTGACCTTGTTTTATATTTTGAAGTTTTTTCCACGCAAAATCAGGTACCACCGAAATTGTTTGGAATGGGTCGAGACTTACATCATATCTTGCAAAACAATTTTTTGTCAAAACAAATTATAGAAATTGCAAAAAAGAAACATTGAAAAAATCTTGAACTCAACTACCTGAAACCTACAAATTTTCAAATAGCAATCGGAATGTAAAAAGATCTGAACCTTCAAAAGTCCCTTCTGCTGGAATGAAGTCGATAATATAAGCAGACAATAGATAGTCCAAAATAGCCAAACATTTCAGTTTGCTGGAAGGTCCGACCTGACTCAAACTCCAGATAGTTTTTTAGACTAAATTACAAAAGGGGCCCTTCCGTTTATTTACGGTAAGTGCACAAGCTGGATAGGGGCATAACAGCGATATAAAAATGCATAAATATCAGCCATGAAGTCATACATCAGCATTAAATGCATCGTCTTAATGTTAATTTATCTTAGCCGTCCTTCCTCTACAATAGCGCTTATGGAGTTGTCGATAAATTGAACTTTGAGTAGCGATCTGCACCCCCTTATACAAAGTATAGAGCTCCTCAGGAGCGCGAAGCTCATTTTAGTTCTTATGTAGTTTATAGATTCTGGATAGCTTTCTTGTCTTTTTTCACTTAGTTTTTCGGCTAATCGCTGCATCGTCCGCGTGGCTGTTGGAGCAGCGCCACCGGTGCATCCAAAAACTAGCGGGCAGAAGCTACTCTGCTCTACGTTTAAAAATCTTTGCTGATATTTGGAGTTCTTCAGCGTTTCGTGGTATTTGTATGCGTCCTTATGCAGTTTTCGCATGTTTTGGCATGGGGGTTGAAAACTTTCACATCAAAGAAAGCGCGGCTGAATCGTGAACCCCAGATTCCGTTTGCCTTAATGTCAAGTCGTGCCTCATCTTTTTGCACAACTCCAGACAGTTCTGCAAAAAGTCTATTACCCGGTTGCAACACCCTTGATTATCTCATGGGTCAAATTGTCCCACAACTATTTGTCAAGTCAGGTGTCAAGTCAATGCATTAACCCGAACTCTCTACAAATTGCGCTCTGATCTGTCTCAAAATTCGAATGAAGAAAACAAGACTGCTCGTAGCAGGGCGAAGCCCTGTATATTATGACTGAGTTTTGATTTCTATTGAATATTTTAAATATAATAATTGATAAAACAAGAGGTGAAAAAAAATTAAGAAAAATATTTCGTCATTTTTTTTTGAAAATCATCCACCACACGCTGCGTAAAGTACAAAGTGATAAATTTAGGATTTGGCAAAGTATTAAATAGACCAAAGAGCATGCATCTATTAAGAACTATTTCTACATAGAGGCGAAGCTTCGCTTTGCAAACACTAGCGTTAACACGACATAAAGCAGCTCAAAAGTGCAATAAGCCTCGAATTAGTTAAAATTCGGCTACGTCTCGGAATCGATCTCCGAGCAACAGTAAGGCGCTACAGTAAATATATGACAAAATTGGAACTCAGAACCGCTCTAAGTGATATAACTTCAGCAGCAAAACTCATCGAAGCAAAACTCTTCGGCAGCAAAAACAGCATCGCAAGGTCAACTGAAAAATGCGAAAAATCACGGTTCATTTTTCTCCGTGAAAACAATATACAGTAATTCCTGAATGTAGTCGGCAAACGGCCCTTCACCATTACCAATATAATTAGGAAAAACAACGACTACCGATTATTTTGTATTGAAAAAGAAATTTTATCACTACGTATTTCGGCATTGAGAATAGCATTGAAACAGAACATGACCTTTTTTGGTCAGGTTTCAGCGAAATAGCCTCTTGAATACTCAAAAAACCGCCCACAAAAAGATCAAGCATAAAACCCGATAGATCAAACGCCCCGTAATATCATATCATTCACATCCTTTTCACAGCTCAAACATCGCAAAAATGACCTAAACTTTTATATTCTACAAATTTCCGGTTATTACTACCTGTTGATTAAAACTAGGAGTCATGAAATCAACTTACGTCTGATGCTCAGGTTTTATTTACAAATTCCTGCGATTATGAGATCACAAACCCCTCTATCAATGCTTGTAAGCAAAACCATCTTACTTTGTCTTTAATTAAGACCACTACAAGATGGATTGATAAAGATCGTCTAGTGGTCATTATAGTTTTAAATTGTTAATTGACTTAAATTATTTAGGGATTACCTAAATTTGTATACCTGCAAAACAAAGCCGACAGAAAAAAATGGCGAATTCAAAGAAGACGAAGAAGTGTGGATAACACCGATATTTTTAAGCACCGGTGATTCTTAAAAAATGTTTACATTTTAAAAAATTTTTGAAGAAAATGGATAACACAGATATTTACAGGCACTTTTTCGCTCCATTTGCACTTTGTAATTGAAGTGGGTAATTCGCAATGGCAAACGATATTGAATTGAACTTGAAAATAGTTAATGCCAAATTAATGGCAATATCGGTAGCCTTCAGTAAATTAATCGGTTGAAACTATAGCTTTTTAGGTAACTTAGCTTTTTGGACACGGTTTTTACACGGTGATAAAGTTGGACACGGCGATAAAGTGCAATCCGACATCGAAATGAGCATTTTAAGGTAAATTAACTTCGTCTAAAATCGTTGAAAAAAAATATTGCCAGAAGTAACAATCAATCAATCTAACCACGGAAAATCAAATTTCACAAATTTTCAAAAAAACGAACTTTCAACATAATTTGTTTCCATTCGCTTATTCAAAATTAATATATTGGTTAAACCTAGGATAATTACAACCAAGTTAGACAGAGAGGCTAAGCGGAACTTCGCATCACTTGCGATACATAAAAAACATAAGAAAAAATGAAAAAACTCGAAAAAACTAGGTCTACTAAAATTTAAATGTTCGTATGTCTCGATAAAAACTCATTGTGGGCAATCATGCCAGACATTTGAATATCAACCAAAGAGACAAAGCTGAGCTTCTCGCCTATTGCGATACTACCCAATCAAAAATTTCGCTTATCTCGATAAAAGATAACTAGGGGCCCAGCTTAAGCTTGTGTTTGATTATTTTTGTATGTAATATACTGATGCGGGATGAAATGGGTAAAATCAAAAATTAGATCTTGTCCAAAACCTTAGTTGTTTCTCTTGCTAAATTAAGTGAGAAGAGTTCAAAAGTTTTCATATATTGGAATTTTCCAAAAACATAACATTTATCGTACAAAAAATTAAGGATTCGCCGCTTCCGCAGAAAAAAAGGTTTTAAGAAATTTTTAATAACGGCAAAAAGTTCAAAACTTGTTTTTCAGAAATCTGTAAACTTTTTTTCTACATAAAAC